GCTTTGGACATGATTTGCATTTATTGCATATGTATTTGGAAGCTACATTTTTAGAGTGTGTTGGTCATTCAATTTGGAGTCGTGTAATTTAGACCATAATGCGATGAATCCATAGGCATAGAAGTCGGTTTTGTTGGTTTAGAATACGATAGTTATTCCCGTGTTGTAGCTTGAAATGGGCATTAGGTCATCGGGGTATTATGGTGTGGGCTCATGATTTGAACATTAACCATATAGTGTAATTTCTAGTGAACGAACATACCTAGAATTATTGGGGATCCCATGCAAGGTATAGACCAATAATAGTTGAACTTGGTGACCACTTATCCGAAGTGAGGCTCGTTAACATAGATATGTGACTTAAATTTATGTTCAATTACATTCAGTGGAATCAGGTCACCCCATCACAAAAAGGTGTGTTTTGGATATGATATCATATCCATGTTTTTGGTGTTGTTTTGGGCACGATATGTACCCACAATTTGATGTTTCAGATGTCGTTTATTATTCATATTTTATTGTTTTTGATACTTGAGTTCTATCCATGATTTCGGTATTTGAACATCAAGCTTTATTCACGTTTTGAGTGAGTATTGGGTTTTGATTTTGTATTTTAAATGGGTGTTTCGAATACAAGTTTTCATAACAAAAATTGTGTGTTTTGGAAAAATGTTTTTACGATAAATACGTTCATTTGGAAAACTCATGATTTAAATAGCACTCTTTCAGTTTCACTATTTTATATTAAAGATGAAAACTATTTGTACTCACTATGCATTAAGCTACACTTTTTGTTATCGGCATGAGCATCAAGTCCAGATATTAGTGACACTTGATCAAAGTTGGGTGTTAGTTAGATACTCATGAAGGACTTAAATTTTTGGAACAATTTTTGTATCGTTGGAGACAATGGCTTTCAGTGAGAGTTATAGTAACATCGGTCTTAACCTAGTTTTGTTTGGATTTAAATTCTAAGTCATTGACTTGGAGTTTATTGTATGGTGTATCCTTTTAAGTAAGTAGAAAGAAGTTTCAGGAGAGGTTGAATTGACTTTAGTATTTATCAAAAAATTTAATTAAGTCGCTCTTTTCAGAATTTTGGGTGTTACATGTGACATCATTATTTTAGATCCTTATGGGGTGTTTGGTTCAGATAATGGAATTTGATGGAATTAGAATCTATTATAGGAATTTGACTTTGAAGGAATTGGAATGGAATTTGACCATGCATTTGGTTGGTAGGAACTGGAATGAAATCTCGCAATAGAATTGGGACAATTGTCTTTGTTTGGACCATCCCACATATCACCCCACCCACACACTACCAACCATTATGTCACTACTGTCATCATCACAGCTATCACCCTGCGAATTTGACTTTGAAGGAATTGGAATGGAATTTGATGGAATTTGACCATGCATTTGGTTGGTAGGAATTGGAATGAAATCTCGCAATAGAATTGGAACAATCGTCTTTATTTGGACCATCCCACATATCACCCCACCCAACACTACCAACCATTATGTCACTACTGTCATCATCACAGCTATCACCCCGCCCCAACCCCACCCAACCCCGCCCCTGCCCCATAATAGGTGGGGTTGTTGGGGATAGGCAGGGTGGATTGAGGCATTGGGAATGGGGTCAGTAGGTGGCAGGTGAAAACTATAGTGGTAGGATGGTGGTTAGTGGTAGGTTGGAGTAGGGTGGGGCTGGGTGGCGGGATGGTAGATGTGACGATGATAGTGGTGAGATAGAGGTCGGGTGGCTGGGGCCTGGAAGTGGGTGGGTATAATGACAACAATAGTGGCATGGTATTTAGTGGTGGGTTGGGGTTGGGTCGGGTAGGTTGCGAGTGAGTGGCGGTTGTGAAAGCGACAATAATGGTGAGGGGTGGGGGTTAGGTTAGGGGAGGGGTAGGGTAGTGGGGATGGGTGGCAGTTATGACGATGACAGTGGTAGGATGGTGGTCGGGTGGCTTGGAGTGGATAGGAATAACATCGACAATAGTGGCATAGTGGTTAGTGGTGGGGTGGAGTAGGGTGGGGTGGGGGTGAGTGGAAGCTGTGATAGCGACAATAATGGTGTGGTGGTGGGGGTTAGGTTAGGGGCGTGACAGTAACGGTAGTAGCATGGTCGTAGCAGGGATGTGCAGTGAGTGACCGAGGGTGGGTGGGTGTGATGATAACAGTAATGACATGGTGGTTAGTAGTGGGGTAGGGTGGGTGACGATGACAGTAATGGTGTGGTGGTGGTAGTGGGGGGTTAGGGGTGGGGCATCACAAATAGTAGTTGTATGGTCGTTGTGGGTGTTGATGGAATTTAATTCCTTCCATTATGCTAAAGAATGATGAATTCCTTAACTTGTGGAATTCATTGGAATTTGAAGGATTCCATCAATTTCAAGATATGAACCAAACAAAGGAATGAAATTTGGTCAAAGGAATTTATCATTCCAATTCCATCAAATTCCTTCGAATTCCACGAACCAAACGGCCCCTTAGTATCTTCCAAAGCAACAATATTGCTTTTTGGATCTTTGAAAACATTTTTCATGAGCAGTTGAGTTTGTCCATGATCATACTGATTACCATACAAAGTTGTTAAAAGCATTATGTATATCTTTTTAGGTTTTTAAACATACAGTAAAAAATTTCCCGAAAGTCAAGTAAACAATCCAAAATTTTGAACTGGACTTCAACATTATCAAAAAACTTCATCATTTACAAAAGAGTCGAATTTGTTATATATATTTATGACTAACTAATTTTTACTACATACGAACGGTTCATATTGTCTGATGAGACTAATCTTTTTACTCTGCTTAACTTCAGAAGTGCTCTCATATAGAACAGTAAGAATGTTCCACATATCTTTGGCGGTTGAGAGGTTCATGATAGAGTGATACGCATCATTTGGAAGAGACATAGAATAGAGTATTTCACATATATTTGTCTTGGTGTCTATTCCAATTTGTCTTTTATTATCATCTGTCTTAGTATCTATTGCAATTATGAAGTTAATAGACACAAATGAACCATTTTTAAGAATATTGGGAATTAATATTGGGAATTTAGTGTTATCAACACCTTCAAGAAAAAGAATCATATTATTTTTCAAAGAGAGAAGTTATCTTTTTGAAAATGAGGAGGTTTGAATAAAGCTTCATTGCCATTATTTGTGGAAGTCATTACAAATCTTGTTTATGGACAAACAAACTGCTCTGATACCACCTATTGATCCAGGTTTGGTAATGACTAACACAAAAAGTTTTCTTAGAGGGGATGTTGAATATAAACATAACAAAATTTTCAAGGTTAACTTTATATGTATTATAGAAACAAAAAATTACAGATTGTAACGGAAACTAGGAAGGAAAGACCTAATGTAAACAATCTAACCGATAACAAATTCTCTTACAAAGAGTGTGAAAGCATAAAGAAATATACTCTAACAGCTCTAAAGAACTAAGATAGTCTTCAAATATTGACACCGATTTGTCCAAGAAACTATAATTTATAATTTCTATCAAACAGGCGGTCTGCAACAATGCCAAATGTTGTCTTTTATAGCCACCAGTGTATTAAATGTTACGAGACAACTTTAACGTGTTTCTTCATCTGATTTGATGATTTGTGCATCTTTGTACTCTTCATGTCATCTTTGATAATCCTAAAGATATGATGTAGACATTTATTGCCTTGTCAAACCTTTTTGTATGCAAAGTGAATAGTAAATGAAGTAGGGCACTAATAAAATAGTAATTTATAACTTGCTTTGACGGACATGTGAAACATGTTATCATACTAGGACATGGGTTGGTGGGAGATTTTAAACCAAACTTGTTGGGTGAGTTTGCACTCAAAATAGGTTTACGAGTTAGTATTTGTCAAACTGTCGGACTTATCTAACATTGGTCTTTAATCGACTAAATGACATTCCTTTCCACTTCGACGTCGATCTAATTCTGCTTCAACTAGTCTTTAATTTTGTTGAGGACATTTCGCTTGGAGCAATATGGATTACAAGACAAGACTAACAATTTTACAATTGAAATCCTATTCTAAAATATAATCTTTTTATCTAAAATATAAGAAATATTTCGATTTCCAGGGTAAGTTCATTTTACACAGAGTTCTAATCCTTTATGAATTCAGATGCTATGACACTGTATTGGATCCTAACACATTTCAATCCTAGAGTATTCCGGATCTTTACATAACATTCAAATCCTTGAACATTTTAGACCCTAGTGCATTTCGGCTTTCATGGTTATACAAATTCGGATGTAATAAAATATAATCCTCATTTTTGTCGTTTGGATTCTAGAGTAAGAAATTTTAGAAGTGTTTATCGAAAATATTTTTGTAACCATCAAATCAAATAAGTGAGTCCAACAATGACATTGGGTCGGATCAAAATAATTTTCGATTGTTTAACTTAGACATTTCAACTAAACTTAACATTTATGAACTTTTTATAAACCTTGTGTTTCAAATAAACTTATTTTTAAAATTTATTATACGTAAATTTAAAATATACCACAAGGGTTGTGACGTAATGGTTGAGACCCTGAGAAATGTGCTGGAATATCCCATCTGCCCAGGGTTCGATTCTATTTGTACACAATAATTGTGGTCACTAAGTTTATCAAGGTTGATTTCTTGCAGACACAATTTACCGGGATTAGTCCAAGCATAGTCTGAAACACTCTTAAAAAAACCCTAATTTAAAATACAGTATTATATTTATTAATCACTAAAACACGAGAAATCAGGCTTCGAGAACTTAACTTTGAAATTTAGAAGTGTTTTGATTTTTGTGAATAAACCCCAAACACAAACACATGTTTAAACTCGAGCGGAAAAGGTAAAAAGGTTGCCCTAGCAGTATTCCTGTCTCGGGCTTCCCAAGAGGTCAGGGATTCAAACAACACCAAAAGTGAGGAAATATGTGAATTTACTTATTGTATTTACCATATATCAATACTATGTACTTTAAAAATTGAAGGTATTTATAATCATAGTCTCAAATGCTACACCATATTACATTATATATACACTTCATTATCTATCTACATATGTAACACAATAAGGTATTATTTACACTTGCACATTGCATCAAGTTCATTTACCCTTTTAACCTTTGAATTTACTTCTTATAGTTGTCCTATTTCTGATTCAACATATTAAATCTAGTTTCATATTGCTTACCTATATTATCCCATCTTTGAAAGGACCAGAATCCTTTATGAGCTCTGTAACAAGCTTCACCTGTTCAAATCACACAAAAGAAACCAACAATTAATCACGATATACATAATACCAACTACATTTGAAGTTCAAACTCTCGAGTCTTGTTAAGATTCAGCTTAGTAAGACTCGCTCAAACTGTTTCTTAAACGTGGTGAGGGTCAAAAAAGGGAGAAAGATCAAGTTCGAGCACAAAACTAATCAGAATGCATGAAGTGCTAAGATTACTTGTTACACAATCTACTATCAATCTCAAGGAATCTATATTTGAACAAACACAAGTTTGTGCACGTGGGTGCATATATGTTCATGTGGAAGTTGGCTTCCACAGGAGTGATAGAACATCATGCATTTTGGAAGATGGGACTGGACAGGCTTGAACGAGCAAGAATGAGTAGATGGGTGAAAGAATCGAAGATTTTAAGGGTTTTAATTTGACATGAGTAGTTTTAGTAATTTACAAATCCTGTTAAATCTTACCAAAGGGTCATTGGCCTAGCAGTATCCTTGTAACTAGTAAATCCATGCCTCCCATGAGGTCATGGGTACAAAGGTTACCGGTGAGTGCGTATTTACTTAAAAAAAAAAAGATTTGGTTCCATCTTCTTGATTTTGTTCCATCTATTTTGGTTGGACAAATGAATGCATTTTTGTCCCACTTAGTCTCGTCCCAACTCGGTTTAATGTTGCGCCAAATGTGGGACCACGAGTTTATGTTCTGTCTTATCCCGTCGTGTCCACCCTAATGAATAACTATATTACCTGATCTGTTTCACGGGACAGGAAGTTGCCAATGACTTGACTAAAACCTTCATCTAGTAAATAATGGGAGCTGTAAGTGGTCACGGGCAGATAACCCCGCTGAATTTTGTGCTCGCCTTGTGCTCCTGCCTCTACTTTGTCCAGATTCAGCTCAATAGCAGCTTCTATCGCCTGTAATATCGAAAGAAAAAGGAAAGTGAAACCCTAAAGCAACAAATTCTTAGATTATGGTAATGACTACTGCTTTGCTTCCCAAATATGCAACTACATTGATAGTTGCTTATGTTCTTAGTACAAATGGGATGGTTAAGTACTGTGGCCTGATAGTGATGATGAGGGTGGAAGAGTAATGTTAACTTGGTCCACAAGATTCTCTCGATTCAATCATTATCAAATGATAATTTAGACATCTGACCAATACTAACACTTCTCTCGAACTCTGCCAAGTCAAGCATTCAATTTTTATGGGATGGAAAGAGTACTATAGTTGATGAGGTCGTAAATTATTAGCAGTCACTACAGAAAAAGTACTGGTATCGCATTGACACATCTAAGGCTGTGTTTGGAAACCAGAAGCTAGCTTATTTTTGAGCTTATTGAAAAAGCCCCATTTGGTTAGCCATAAGCTAGCTTTTTGAAAAGCTACTTCAAGTAGTGTTTCAACAAGCTCTAGGTTTTTTTTCCATTTATGCCCCTTATATTCGTCCAGTTAACTTTTCAACATGTCCTTTCTAAGTATTATGCATTTTTCACCTAGCTTACCGGCTAGTTTTTACCAAAAATGACTAGTTTATCGGCTAGCCTAAGACTTCTTCCTTTGAGTGTGGAAACCACCCAAAACCACCAAAAGTACACATCTTAAAAACCATTTCTTGCTGCACAAATTATGTTGCAACTGCTAATGTCTATCTCTCATAGTTGATAGTCTGCACTTACAATACAACAGCTTGCAAGCACCGCTTTTTATGGTAGCACATATTAATTCTTATCACCTTCCATAATTCCAGTGAAATTCTTATTCTCAGGGGCAGAAGGGAACAAACTAAAACTTCCCAGAACAATAAAATTTGTAATTAAATTCTTGTGATGGTAAAACAAATGCATGTCATCATGGTAATGCTTAAAATTCATTTTCTTCATATAGTTAAAGCCGAACCTGGTAGTAGCATGCCTCAAAATGCAAACTTGGATAATACACTCGTGGTAGGCATCCCCATAGCCGCCCATAGATTGTATCTCCTCCGATAAGATTAAGAGCTCCTGCAACAAGCTCATCCCCTTCCTGGGCAACAATTAGCATTATGTGATCCCCCATCTTTGAGCCCATGATATGAAAAAATTCTCTTGTTAGATAAGCAGTACCCCACCTATGAAAGTGTAGATGAATAACATAATTGTTAGAGTGAAAGATTATAAGCTTTAAGAATTAATAAACATCGGTAAAAAGTTAACTTATGGCAAGTTTCACCAAAATAAACACTCCCTCCTTCCCAAAAAAGGTTCCTTTAAGATCTTGAAGAAATCATGTCCCGCAATTTTACACATAATAGTAGCAAAATGACCCTTTATCCTTTTTACGGAAAAAGGATAGGTCATAAAAGAACTCAAAATTTATTTTAACGCTTAAGTATTGAAATATGACACTTTCGGGGACAGAAAAATTAAATGGAAGGATGGAGTGTATGATTAAAAAACCAATGGATGAAGGATGAGTCGTATGCACTTAACTTGTTGTCGGTGGTGTTTCTGTAGAACTGATAGAACGTATCCCAGTGTTTGGCCTGTCGGTGAGAAAATAGACAAAATAAGATCAAGTTGTTAAAATTGACAAAATAAGATCACGTTTTTTGCATGTGAAGGTTAAGAAGACTTCAAATATGGAGTAAATTACAAAAATTGTCCCTAGGTTTATGAAAATTCTGGTTTTCGTAACTCGACTTTCGAAATTACACTAGGTACTAAAAAGTTTGCATTCCGTTAAAGATTTTGTCCCTGGCCCTAACAGGATTTAAGTGCATCCGTTAAGTGCCCTTCCTGTGCTAGCCACATGAGGTAATTTGGTCATTTCCTTTTTCCTTTATAGTTTTTGTTATTGTACAAGTGTATAAAGCATTTTAAAAAAACCTATCCCCCGCCCTCATTCAAAGCCACCACCCCCTGTGTTATCAAAACCAAGGCCCCCTAGTTTTTCTAGTAGGGTTTTCCTGCCTGATCATCCAAATGAGAACTCATTGACCCAAATGGTCTGTTCTTCAGAAGCTGGAACGATAGTGGCTATGGAGCTTATTCAGGAGGTTAACAAGGAATCAAGTGTGCTCAAGGATGGATGGAGGTGGGGCAGAAGCAGCGAGTGGTGGTAAGGTGGTACTAGTGGGTGACGGTGTTGGTGGGGCTGTTGGGGTCATGGGTGCCGGGGATGTTCCTGTCGGTGGAGAAAGAAGACGCTGATGGAAGTGTTGGTGCTGCTGGTGAGGATGTAGGGGGAGTGGTTTACATTTAGTTGGTTTTTATTTAAATGTCTTACACACTTGTACATATGTTTTACAAACCTGTACACTAAAAAAATTTATAAAAGAAAATGAAAACTGACCAAATTTCCATTGCATGACTGCACGTATGGGCACTTAAAGGATGGACTTGGTGCCCGTTAGGGCCAGGAATGAAATCCCTAACAAAATGCAAACAGTAGAGTGTCTTGTGTAATTTCGAAAGTCAATTGACAAAAACTGAGAGTTTTCTTAAATTCCAGGGATGATTTTGTAATTTACTCTTATACATTATAATATGATGAAGCAATTAAAGAAGTACGAGAGATGCATTTTTGTTAGATTTTAGAAATTAATGGTCCTGCATGCTTGGGATTAAGAGCAACATTATATGGATCCTGTCTATTTGACAATATTTGAGAACTTTGAAGGGAAAGATAATATCATAGTCAAATCTCTGCAAATACAGTTGCTATCATACCAAAAAGCTTGAGCTTTCTTTGAATGGAACCACAACCTTCTCAAGGAATGGTAAGATGATAGGACAATACAACACATCTACATGTATGCATCACATCTGAAACGCCAGAATGCCAGCAAGGGCATAATTAAACAGGCGAAGTGAGAGTGTGGCTATTTCTTTTAAGAGAAACCCGACCAAGAAGTTACAACAAAAGCCTCTCCAACTACCTCCCTCCTGTGGACGCTATCTACAGGTCCCGACACCCTAGCCTGCTATCATAGTCTTGTGCCTCCAAAATCTCCGTCATGTCCTCTGAAATGTCTAAGGCCTCAATGTCCCTCCTCAGTTGCTCATCCCACGTCCTCCTCCACCCTTCAACAGTCCCACTTTCTACCCACCTCATTGGAGACGCCATTTGTCTTCTCCGAAGGTATCCAAACTACTACATCTTCCCTCTCTCAACTTATCCATGATAGGCACAACTCCCGACTCGACCCAGAATACCTTGTCAGGTATCCTATCCAGCATGATCCCACCACATGTCCATTTAAGCATCGTCATTATGGCAACTTCCAACTTTCTCTCATGGACCATCCGGGTCACCCCAAATTTAACCCATACAACATAGTTGGTCTAACTACTCTATTGGATTTGCCCTTCAGCTTTAGTGGGGCGTTCTTGTCACACAACAGCCCCGTGGCAGCCCTTCACTTTAGCCACCCTGTCCTTATGCAATGTGTTATGTCATCCTTGATCTCTCCTTTTTCTGAATCATGGAGCCTAAATACTCAAGACAGTACTTTTAAGATACCCTCCTGCCCCAAAAATAATGTTGATGTCTATCCCCCGCCAATACACTCCCTACTACAACTACACCACATGTATTAGATCTTAGACTGACCAATGTGTAAGCCTTGTGTCTCCAATACTGCTCTCTACTGCTCAAAACTCTTGTTCACTTCTACCTTCGACTCCACTCCCACCCAGCACAATGTCATCTGACAATAATTTACCATGAGAGGCTTAGCACTCTCTCACCCATAGGAGTCTGAAACAAGTCTTCGTTTTCCCGTACATATCCTGTATTACCCTGACATACCTCTATGGTACCCCACCCCTCCTTTCCAAGCTCAGTTCATGTTCTGTGGGATGCTATCATATGCCTTCTCCAGATCTATGAACAGCATGCTGTAAGTCCTACGACGCTCTTTATGCTTCTCAATCGAATTAGGTTAGCTATAAAATGTGAAACTTAAAACAAAACATAAATAGGTAAACCCCCTATAGTTCCTGGATGTGTAAATTTTCCTTCCACACACTCCTATGTAAGGCCAAGAAAATTCCACTACCTTGAGCATTTAACAATGTAATTACATTAAACTTGTCCTAGAAGCTTAAAGCATACATGCACTTGTGTCTTGTTTGTGCTTTAAGCAAAAGTAGAACCATGTCAAAAGGAAAGGGGGAAAAAGAAACACACGTAAAGGGAAGAATCAATTATACTACACCTTAATTTCATAACCTCGCAGCCGTTTCATTGTAAGATTTTGAGCAGGTATCTGCAAAAGATGAAAAATATTTAAGAAGCACCTCTATTCAGAGTCGTAAGAAGAGTCAAAGAGGTCCCCACAATTCTGAAATCTAGACAGCATGTAGAACTTCCTTGCAGAGGGCCACTCCATTTAGAGATCTACAACAGTACAACAAATTAAACAGATGTACCTTCTTGCGCTCTTGCCGAATATTTTTTCTTTTACTTTGCTTCATGTCCATCAAGAACTCATCAAAACTGTCATGTCAAGAAAACGCAGATATCAGAGAGAGGGAACAAACTATTAGAAAATTATGCATGATAGTAACAGATTGACAGTTTGTGATAACATAGATAATATATGCATAACCAATAAAATGGTTGAAGTGAAGATAAAACTTTAAATATAGTGAATAAAATAAAGCATATCAAAATTCAACATTTTGTTTACTCGTATCATACTGGTCGTGGAAGAAAAAATACAAATATAACTTATTAAGAAAATATGCTTTTTGTTTGTAGGGGTCTGGAGATGGGAAAGACGGACCTATGATAATTGTAAGACAGGTGAACAGGAGAAGACAGAACAATGAGTAAATACGTTACTTAAAAATATTAATAACATAATCTACAACCAGCAATAGAATAAATAACTGGTGTTTGTAGGTTTTTTATCAGCTATATGCAAGTACCAAATCAGTCGAGACTGAAGGTATTGAGTAAATATTTATCACAAGTACTATGTAATCCATGTAACGTTATGCACATCCATAGTCGTTCATTGTTATCGTCTCTCTCTTCCAAACTAGCCATCCTCTTTGAAATTGGCACATAGTTGACAAACTACTTGACCATATGTGGACATTGTAACCTTGTCCCTTTACAAAAGCTTCAAAAGACAAGCAATAAACTCACATTACCTTTTCTTTTGGAAATTGTGTTTTATAAATTTGTCACCTCTTGAGCAAGGGTATGCATACCGAAGTAAATTAAAAGCAATGACTTGAGAAAGTGATTGTAACTCATTCAAGAAGGCAGAAAACATGATCTATGACCAAGAGATAACATATTGCTCACTTTTTGTAGTTGCGATTTTTCCAATGATACTGCATACCAGTCCTCTGTAGAAAACCTTTGTCCTTCAATGCATGCCATTCATGTTCGGACGAAAAGGTTATGTGCAACGATGAAACTTGAAACTGCCAAAGTGCAAATACAAACTCAAAATTGGACCAGGCAATAGCAGTTTAACAAGTCAGCAACTTCTAGAACTCTCCAGCTCAAAAGAAACCTTCCCGTATTTCCAGAATTGGTGACAACGATAGGCAAATTAATTTGCAGGCATTTCCTTAAGAAAATGACATTCAGAAAATCGACAAAGCTAGGGGAGCTAATCAAATATAAAGCATTCAGTATTTCAAATCTACTCGAACTAAGACAGATGTATAATTTCAGGATGGAGGGCTTGTTTTGTACCTACAAAATAATAATCTCAATCCACTGTCCCTAAAACCATGAGCTATGCTGTTAATGCGGTCAAAATACAAAATATCGGTCAGGACCGATATTCAATATTCCGGTTATATCGATGATATATCGGTCCAAAATAGCGGTTAATATAATATTTCTTAGAATTATATATATATATATATATATATATATGTATGCATCCATAAACATATCATATGCATTAATTAGAGTTTAGAAATATAGTTCCAAAACTAAAACATCACATAAACAAGTCTCACAAAACAAAATAGRAAAARTGTTCATAAACGAGCTAATCGCAAACAATAAGCRTGAACTGTGAAAGAACCGAGAAGAGAAGAAGCATGAACTGTGAAGAACCGAGAAGAGAAGAAGCGTGAGACTTAATATATGTGTTGACTGGTTGACCAAATAAAGAGGCCCAAAAAACTAAGCCCGACATGTAATAAATTAAGCCCAAACATTTGTCTTATAGAAAATCAGTATATCGGACCGATTTTTCCATCAAAATATCGGTGAAATATCGGTAAATATCGGCGATATTATCAGAACCGATATTTTGACCGATATTTCACCACCGATATTTTTCCAGAGTCCGATATCCGATATATCGCGATTTTAACAGCATAATGAGCATTGTGAATAAATGGCACCTAGGTTAAGCAACTGGGTATCTAAGTGATTCATAATTAATAGAAAAAGATTGTGAACATTGTTGCCCTTTTTCTACCTTGGGGTTGATGTGAATATAGAAAGATGAATAACTTATACACAGTACTGGTGATGGAAAAGATCTACTTTTATTCTCCTTCTGTTAACATCCATAACGTGAAAGTAATCTTTTAGTATGGTTATCTTCATCGCAAGAACATAGGGCTGTGACACTGTCATCTTCAGTTATGGGATCCAATGGCAGGATACAAGCACATCTTTACCACAACCGATTGTTTTGATAGTTTGCTCAAGTAAAGAAACCTAAGCAGAAGGTAACATAGTAAATAGTAGTCCTTAAGGTCTACACTACTTCTTTGGTCTTAATAAAGGAAAACATAAGAAGAGAGGTCTAAGAGGCTCGGAATATGTCAATGATCTTCTAATATTTTTGTATAAGGCCTCTGCATTAACCAAATCATTAATTGATCTGTCAAAAAATACAAATCAGTTTTCCAGATTTTGGCTATTGAATAATATAAATGATCCTATTGCATCATTGGTACACCATAAACAAGGGGTGGAGAGGCATCAATGATTTTCACAGATGAAGCCAAACTCTTAGGACTACAGATTTCTGTAACAAAACCAGGGTCCTCATGCTAAATGTGTATCTAAGATGCATCAAGAAAAGCCAGATAGGAAAGAAATTAAAAATATAGTCTTGCATTAGAGTTCTTGAAGTAAAATCATGGCTATCTATCAGCACAGGCATACCCATGCACTAATATGTATTTGAACTTGGCTAATTCCTATTTTGCAATGACATACGGCATTGTAACACCATTACGAACCTGGTGTGATTTCCTAGGTTTCTATTTGCTTGTGTAAAGGGTTCTTCCTGGATATCGATAAGTTGAACATTCATTCAGCTATGGATGACGAAGAATAAAAAGTACTGCCTAGATGCTATAAACACATTGTTTTATTTTTCTTTCTCTGGCAACATGTTTGTTTCTTTTAATATCACAAGAGTTTAGGATCTGATTTTGATGCTGCTATATTTCCGTCAAACAAGGATTATCAAAGCTCCAATGAAACCGATGTCAGTTTAACATCTATCGAGTTGACGAAACTGAAGTACTTTGTTTTATATAAAAATAGACATCTGATAAAATAAAAATGCTAGTTCCAAGTTCAACCATATACATTAATGATGAGCCCAGAAAAAGATAATACCTTAATCGCCAAATCCTTCATAGCAGAAACTAAAATGTCAAAGACTTGATTTTTGTTTGACGTGTTCCGCACTAAGATCCTTGGACCAGGTACAGGAGTAAAAGGTACACAACATTGTAACTTTGGATAATACCTCGAACCATAACGGTAGTAGGCATCAGCCCATGAATGGTCAAAAACATATTCACCATATGAATGACTGTGATTGAAAGAAAGAGATGTTAGCTAACTGCAACCATGCATGCTTTTATAAATATTTATGAACATTGCATGTAATAACCTTTTAAGATAGAGTGGGATCACGCCTAGTATATTTTTATCTTCATCCTGTGCAACTATGTGCCGTGGAAGCCATCCTGTTTCCTGAACTAGCATCAAGGATAAATGCAATGAAGTATGACATTTTTATAGAAACAACCTCGAACTAAATAGAAGGCATGTTTAGCATTTATCAAACCATGAAGACTATTGTCATTATACAAATCAAGTAAGAAAGCAATTTGAAAGGAAATGAGTTGCCAATTGTTACTATACACCGGTCATATACAATTTTGACAGTTGACACCTGTTCAATGTATTGAAAACCTTGATTTGTGGTTCAATGAAAGGACAAAATGTCGTATTGTGATTAAATTAAGGGTGGTAACAGTTTGGTGCTTCGAATTAATTTAACAGTTTGGTGATATTCAACAAACTTTTTCACACGCTGGTGATTGTCATTTCGATTCATCAAATTTCTTTAATGAGAAAAGCTGGGGAGCAGCATAGTCACATGCTGGTGATTGCCATTTTGAATGATGAATCCTTTACAGCTCCCTGAACCAAGAATTATTCGCAGATTTCAAATTGAAAGAGTTAGGAGAGAAGCTAAATTGTTCATTGAAAGGTCCGTAAGAAGGTTTTACACAACCTGTTGGGATATGAATTTAAAATGGAGAGTAATAATAAGGAGGGCCCAAGATTTATAGCTTTTACATCGCTCCTTTGTCCCTGGCCCATGATAGAACAAATGTTTGAAGTATGGGAACTTGGGAAGCAATCACGGCCCCTGATAAAAAAAAATCTTTTGAAACCTTTTAGTTTCTATAGAGGATAACAGACCATAGAGATTTTTGTTCTGCTATGTTCTTAAGAAACAGGGAACTGTATTAGTGGGGGTACAATATGTCGCTGAAGGGCGGAGGACAGTGGCAGCGGCAGCTGGTAACACTGGGTGTGGGTGTTGTAGGACAGTGTTGGTAATGGATTGACGTATAGAGGCAGGAGAATCAGCATGATACGAGACATGTTGCCTAGTGTAATTTTACTTGAAGATCGGCAATGTCAGTTCTTACATTTTTAACAGTTTGAAGTCAGCAGACTAGTGATAACTGGGTAGGATGTCGGATGTCCGTAAGAAGAATAGACAGTTTATAATGGCAATCACCAAAGTGCGAAGCAGAAGTTGTTCAAAACCACCTCACTTCTACAAATTGACTTTAGTAACAAAGGGTTAAGCTCCCATAAAGTTCAATCACCAAACAACATTATTGCATAGATGAAACTCACAATTGAAACTGATGTAGATGTATCAAAAAGAACCACCAAGTCAATTAATGATTATACCTACTTAACAGAACCATGATCTCATGTCAAATTTGGGGTCATATGAAGTGGCATGTATGGACTTGACACTGACAGTCTTAAATTACAAGCTGGTAATAGCTATGAACTTACAGGTCTAAGTGGTGGTGGTATTACATGACTTGATGAAGAGGATATATGCCCAGAGTAAATGTATCACAAAGATGATATAAACATTATAATATATAAGATGTGACGGATACACTCAGTTGTTAATTTATGCAAATTTTAGTAGGAAATACTGCTGAAGATAAATTTCTAACCTTCACTGCAGAACCTGACTCCTCTAAACTTGAAAGGAACCCATGAGAAAGAAAAGGATTAAATTGCTCTGGACCAGTAGCATCGAGACTGCACTCATCCCAATCACCAGATGGAACTTCCAAAATTGAAGAGACTACAGAAACTGATATATGTTTAGCTTTCTCGGCGTTTGATGAGTCTTCCTAAATACAAACAGTTTGAGCAGCACACGTTACAACTTACAAGGGCAAGTATGGGAACCAGAAGCCTCCATAGCAAAAAAAATTATTGTTAACGATATTACACACCTTCACATTAATTTTGGTTGATGTGAAGCTGTCTAAAGAGAGATACATTTCAGGAGGATCTGCAGCCTTCTTAGGTTCCCAGAAGAGTGCCTTTATTCTAGATGTTTGATTGGGAGTAGGGAATTGTTTTCTGCATGACAAGCCTCCCTACAATAGGAAATTATGAAGGAATTTATCAGAAAAGAAACCCAAAAATATGCACAGCCGTTTTCAAAATGCTTCCACAGGTTCATGGGGAAATAACGAAAAACTAATAATAGTCATAATAGGTTTTCAAACCCGAATGTGTAAAGGGTAAATATGTGAGGTTTTTTCCTAGGGGATCCGTCCCCTTTTTCCAAAAAAAATGTGAGGTTTATATATTTCAATAATGGAAACAACCTAGTTTACCAAGGCAATGTTAGGAACAAATTCATGAACAATATAATATCCAGGTTCAGCAGCTAATCCAGAATTGATAGTGGAATTGTCCAGGATTGGCGTTTAAACTTGTGGGGTTCAAATAAGCTCCAGCCTCCCAGGTTGTGGAATGCCAAAGAACAATACCTACATACGTATTTATAAGTTGGACTTGCTCTATTCATTCTATTTCATCAAAAGAACAAATTCGCATTTTATGTAAGAATTTTCCAGCTCAAGGTCCATTTTATTGACTTCTTTAAGTCAATATATAGCATAAGATAGTTCATGGTCCAAGAGGATAACCTGAACAGTTTATTTTTTGTCAGACAGCAACTGAAAATCAAGGAGATCAAACAAGTGATTTCGGTATCAGAGCTTAAAATAGTAACTACAGTCCAAGCGATGGTTTATTTAGAAAATAAAATAAAATAAAATGAGTACACTTTAGGCCTTGAGAAAAGATCAGTAGATAGATCATTGAATAAGGAACCAAATGCATTATAATGGCAGGTAGAAGTCAGAACAATAAAATTAGAGGTATATATGGTGATGCAATGCAAAAATAATGACACAAAATAACACTAGAATACCACAATATTTGGTAACGTGTAAACTGGAGTTCAAGCAAAACTTCAACCCAAAATACTTGGGGATGTGGGGGTCATGTAATAAGAGACTACTTCTATTCATCCATGACTTGCAGAAAAAACATAACAGACAACTAGACAAATAAATTTTCCTTCATACGTTCCAAAATGCGAGATAGAGGTCGACTTCTACAATCAAACCTATGACTTATCACGTTTCTCCCTTCATAGTATTTGTTGAAAGGTCATTTCAATTATCAATTTTTTGCGAGAAGGGACTTGCAAAATCCATATCAATCTTGAAGTTGAAAATTAGTTCTTCTGACCAAAAAAGTCGACTTGTATCACTTTTTTAGGGAACATGATTGATATTCTGATGGGGTTCAAATTGGTCTAAAAGTTGTCTCCAATTTCCAAGCTCCAACCAATTGAAGCTTCCCTTTTGTGTTGTCAAGCCTAGTACTTTGCAAATGTCTGCAAAGTTGGTAAGATTTCATCTCAAACTGATGGAAAGCAATTGTCTATTTGCACTGCCGATTATAAGATTCCATGTAGTTAGCAAATTTTTCTTGAATAAAAAGTTTAAAGTCGATATCAGAATTTATGTTGAAAAGTAACTTAACTGCCATCATAATCGAAGTGTAGTTTCTCAGAAGGTGGGGCATAAAATTACAGCCAGCATAACAAATATATGTACACTAGATAGCCAGAAAAGCAGATTACTGATCACTCATCCTTACAGTGGCAAACAGAATCGCTTACTACACAAAATGAACATCTCCAGTCAAACGACATAGCAATTGAAACTACTATAAACCCGATGTTTACAATCAAGTACTGGAGAATCTATATGATCCGCATATAGAGACATATAATAAACGGAGAAGGAAGAAAGCTTACAAGGCCAAAATCGATGTGACCTAGAAATGGTGAAGGACGAACGACAGCCATGGCCATTGCCATTGCCATGGCCGAGAAGAACCGGAAGCTGGAGCTGCGACGGTTGATTTGCGAGAAGAACCCAAGCCACTTGTATGGGTTATCTTACGACACCAACTGATCCCTGTGTGCTCCCCAAATTCAATCCTCAAAATTACAATATTATTCCTTTTTTTATGTTTTTTCAAAAAAAAAAAACATATATTTTTGTTTTTTAAACCATTTTTTTTTATAAAAAAAAATTAAATAACATTTCAGCACAATTTTAAAATAAAAACTTAGAAAATTATCAAACAGCATCATAATGTTTTGGGGTTGTTTGTATACCTTTTAATAGTTCAATTAAGAGACAGTCTCTGAATCAATTAAAAGATAAATTTTGTTAGACAAAAAAAATCTATCTCTTAATGGTTTTAAAACCCTCTGAATGATTTTATATTTTGAGTCTCCCTTAACCATTAAGCACCCTAATCATTTTGTACTGTATCATGAGAGCCTTTTAATCATTCTAACCACTTAATCATTCTGCATCAAGCCATTCAGCAACTGTCAAACAACATCAGTTCTTACTTTTATGGATTTTTCATTCTATATCATTGTCAACTCAATAATTTAAAATACTATGATAAAAACTCTCAGTTTTTTCAAACTTTTTTAGAATCCTATCACTTTAACTTTTATAAAAACTAATATATCGAATTTTAACAAATACATATTAATTTATATCGAGAATCTATCGTTACTTTAAATATTTATTTATTTTACATAATATTTTAAATGTATTAATACATCATAT